AACTGAACTTTTAATATATATATATATCCACAACCCAGGCATGTACCCTGGCCAGGAATCGAACCATTGACCTCCTGGTTGATACGGTGATGTTCTATCACTGAGCCATACCGGCCAGGCATCAGCTTACTAGTATTTTTATGATGGGAAACACAACCCTTGGACAACTGGTTTAAAACAATTCCCAAACTGGCCAATGGGGGCGGGGGCGGCGGGGGGGTAGGATCTAAAGAAAGCAGAACTGAAATACTGCTTCAGCAATTCAGGTCAGGACATCCGTGTTTACCATGTCTTCTCCCTTGTGTGCACCAACTGTGCTGCTGGATGTTGAAAATGAAAGTTTGCCAGAATCATCTGAACTGATAAGGCTGAACTGCGTTCCAGAGTCGGGCAGGAACACTCTGTTACAGGAGGCCATTCCCTCTTCCCCATGCAGGTTTGTTTGTTTCACATTGAATTACCTTTTTATTTTTTTGGCCTAGGAATCTGGAATTGGAACTTGCACTGCTGGTGGCTTGTGATTTTCCCAGCTCTCTAGAAGCTTCTGAGATCTCACCTTTCTCTCACAGAGCCTTTGTCTGTAGTGAGAGCACCCTGGCTACAAAGTCGGCTGGCTTGCTTAAAACAATGGAGTTACAGAGACAATCGGAAAGAAGGTGCTGAGCGCTAACCCCACACAGCGCCTGCGGTAATCTCAGCAGAGCCACTCCTGACGCTGCAAGTTCAGGGACAGGCTGGTCTTCCATTCACTCCCTCCCTGGCTGTGGCAGAGAACCCAGCAGGGTGCAGAGCCCTCACAGCTACACGGAAGGATTCTGTTTAAGATGTCACTGTGCTTCACCACTCCAGGTCTGTCAGGCTGCGGCAGAATGCAGAGAAGGGGAGGATCGAATAGTGGGAATAGTTTAGGCTCATTTCCTCTCTCCCCCCAAAAAACCTCTGCCTCCAAAATGGGGGTCATTCGAAATCATTTGCAGGTGGCACTTCTTAGCATTCCCAAGAGCCAACAGCAATCATTCACCCTCAAAGTACACACAAAGGGACTCGGTTGGCTTCCACTCACCACTGTCTCCCCAGAACTTATCATGTGCCTGGCATCTAGGATGCACTTAGTAAGTATCAGCTGCATGAATAGATGAATGCACTGTATCTGTTGTAAACTACAAGCTGACAGGCAAAGCAAGAACTCTGAGAATCAGAAGTGCCGACAGATGCAATGAGCTCCCCGAATGTCCCTTCACTGGAACTGCTCCAGCACTGGGGCGTCGTGGTGCAGGTTAAAGCACCACAGAGAGGGTAGATGGGATTTCCTCCCCTTCTGTTTTAGAATCTCATCAATAGTTCATGTACTCTGGACAAACCGTAAAAGGCAGGTAAGAAAAGTCAGTAAATGAAGCCATTCATCATCTCTCCACCAAGTGTGACAGTTAACACAGTATATCCTGTGGGCATTGGCTACGTCACATTGCACTATATGGACAAATACTACTTTAATTAGTGCGGGATGACATGAATCTCTGTACCTCTCCTAACGTTTAGTCATAGCTCACATTTCCTGGATTCTCCTAAAACCCAGTGAGGTGGATACTGAGCTGCGCTCAGCTTGCCCTCCTCAGCCCTCAAGCTGTTTGACCTTAAATATGCAACTTGAGCCTCAGAGTCCTCATGGTAAAGCGATACCTACAGCGATGCCTTCTTCACAGCGTGGCAAGGATTAAGTGATATAACAACCAAAAGCACTCACAGCTACCGGCACACAGAAGGCACTCAATAGGAGGGGACGTTTATTATTGCAATTATTATTGTAATGGAGAAGAATGTGGGGTTCTGTAGGGGACACAAAAGAGAGGAAGGTCAGTCTAACCTGAAGGTGTCAGGAGAGCTCTGGGGAGGGGGTGGCATAATGAGTAAGTGCTTGTCAGGAGAATCATGGGGAGAAAGAGCATTCTAAGGGTAAAAAAGAGTTTGTTCAAAGGCCCTGAGGTATGAAACATCTTGGCAAGAGAGCTGCCAGTAGGTCAGCACAACTAGAGTAAGGGTTCAAGGTCAAAGAGAAGCCAGAGCCAGATCCCAAAGAACCACCCAAAAGCCTTGAACAACGGGAAGACAAAATCAGGTTTGACTTTCAGAAAAATTTAGGTAATGTCCACCTGAACATAGTTTTCCCTTCCCAGGGTCACCATTATGATGATCAGTTATCACAAAAACCACCGGAGTATATCTAATGCCACAAAACACAGGACTTATTGTAATTCACAGTTCTTTCCTCTGTTCACACGTCTTCAAAAGTCTTTGTTTGTTTGAGTGTTAATGGTGAATGGGCTTATTTTTCTAGGCTGGTTTAGTTGCTGCAAAAGGCCTTTACCAGTGGCATCTTCCAGAGTGGGTTTTAAATGCTCATCTTCCTATCCACAAGGTGAGTCGTAGGTGGCCACTTCTTAGCACCCCTAAGAGCCGGACGCAATCATTCCCCCTCAGGGGACACAGACAGCAGTGGCAGCTTGGGTCAGGACTGGGAGAGGGAGGCGGCTGCGGGAGGCAGAGCCAACTTAGGAGTTAGTACAGGGACTGGAAGGGAAACGTGTCCCGGGATAACAGCAGCATCATTAAAACAATAAATAAAATTTAAAAAGTCGCTGAAGAAGAAGAAAAAGAGCAGGTGCTGTGCTGTGAAAGGAGGGACGAGATTGCAAAGAGTATCTGTTGATGGAATTTCATGACAAAGGAGGTCCCTGGAGGGAAAAGTCTGAGACAGGCAACTAAACTGTTTGAATACATGTAGCTTCATCTGTTCACTTATCATTCATGAGGTCAGCCTATGAGCCTTCCGTTCATTCTCTTTGTACATGAAATGTCCTGGACACCACAGAACCCATGTGCTCTCCGACCACGGGTGACTCAGGAGCAGGAAGGGCTCGCTGCTCCCGGGCACCTGAAATGTGCCAGGCATTGTCCCAGGTGTGCTTATACACGCTGTCCCTAAACTGATCCTCCACCACACTCCTTTGATCAAATCAGCAGACATGCACAGTCTATTTCTCTGGCCCAATTTTCACTGTCCCATATTAGAGAAAACAGAGGCAGCAGGTGGGGAAAGGATCACTGGGTGAGGAAAATAAAGCTAAAAACGTAGTTTCAGACACCATCACTTTAATCTCCCTCCTCCTTTCCAGAGCCTCAGATTCCTCACAAAACAAACATTGCTTTTTTTTAGATCATTTTTTCCTTTTAACGCAACATTTCCCCAAATGCCCATGTATTAATCCTTGTCCTTCTTGTCTAACAGTCCCACTAACACCCTCAGTGCACGTATGTGTATGTGTGTGCGTGCGAGTGCGCACGTGCTGGTGTGTCGGATTCAGGCACAAAGACCGAGTGCCATCAGCCCTGCAGGATCTGCCAGTACGTGGGCCAGATCCGAATTCTGGACACGGATGTCCGTCCCTGCCATGGGAGTGCCCCTTTGCGTTGTAGTTGCTGCAGCCTGGGGCTGCTGAGCACCAGTGGTATTTTGCTTGTAAGTTGTTATAAAACAAAAACCAAGAAAAGTAGGGGTGGGGGGGGGGGAAATAAGCTAATCATATCAACCCATCAGGTGGTACTCAACTTAGCATGTGTTTTATTGTCAGCTGAGAAATTCAAAGAGCATTGTAGAAACACTTAAAGCAAAGTGGCCGGATTTCTATCAATCACTCTTTGTTTCTCAGACAGTAATTTTTCTCCTGAAAAATCAAATCCACAATAAATTATTTATTGAACACCTACTGTGTGACAGGTACTCCAATGCCAATTGAATGTTATAGGGTTTGTTTTCATTATTATCTTTTCTTCTTTAAAATGTTTAAGGCCTTGATCAGGATGTATTAGCTGTTTTCTCTTCCAACAATTTTATCATTATGAATATCTTCAGAAGTTTAACACTTTGGTGGCTATGCAGAGTTTTCTGGGTCCTTATTGTTTTGTTTTGTTTCTACTATTGTTTTTTTCACCTGAATTTTTCTTTTCCTACTCTCTGATTTTTAGGGAGAAAAAAAGTCTAGCATCTAGGTCTGAGACCACTCGAAATGTCTGGACTGGGACTGCTAATGACCTCCCAGAGACAACCCAAATTGCTGATTTAGCAAAGGCCATTCTTGACCTTGACACAAGGCAAGACAGGCAAAGGGGAAGGACTTGGGAGGGAGCCGTGAAAGAAAAAGGATCATAGAGGCGCTCCGATCTCCCCAGGCCCCTCCCCCATTCAGCAAACACCTGGCTGAGTTAGAAAACATGACCGGTCCAACCTTCCTATTGGCACCAATTGAAGCTGTCAGCTCTCGGCTTGTCACCAGTTGCACTGGGAGGCCCCGGGCAGCCACAAGAGCCCTAATTAGGCAGAAATGACACTTCTACAACTGACCTGCCAGGACCTTTGGCAAACCATTTAACATCATTAGTTAACATTTTTTAAAAGTGTGAATGTAAATGAACAGCCAGTGGCTTTCAATGGAGTTTGTCGGTGGCATCTCCCCCCTCCCTGCTCACTTCTTTCTCTTTTTCCATGAATAGTCCACTTGTTTTCTCCAGAATTGGAGGGAGGCGCTGGGGGAGAAGGAAGAAGAGGACCAGTCCTCGGAGAGGAGAGACATGTCAAAAGCACAAACAAGCGCAGAGGAGCGCTTCAGCCTGGGCCCAGACAGAGCCGAGCAGGGGACCAGGGTGTGCTCAGCAGGCCAGGTCCCCTCCAGCAGTCCCAGACAGCAGCCATTCCAGGCTTTGGGCCGATGGGAAAGGACTTCATTTCCTGACCCGGGTGCCTCTGAAACACCCTGGTGCTCACACCTCCACCTACTTGTTGGCATTCTGAACAAGCTGATGTTTTGCAGATGTTTAGCCAACGTCTCATGTGTGCTTAAGGCCCCGTGCACCCGTTTGAAAGGGGTCCCTCTGTAAAGGAGTGACGGTCTAGGGATAACCATTCCGGGTGGTTGGGTACTTACAGAAATTAGTTCATTTCCTACCTGTAGCGGTTACCTCCCACCTTGAGTCACACTTCATTTTGTTCTTCGACGTACACCCACAGAATCCATACACGCCAACACTCTCCATCTGTAGGATGGGGGAGGGGGGAAGAGTGTCATTGTGAAAATGTCATTTTGTCTGTCTGTTTCCAAGCTGCTCTCAAATCCTATGCCCATGCTGGGGGTAGAAGGGAGAAAGGTGTAGGTGGGCGGCCGAGGGGTCAGTTCTTGGCAGGCCTTTGCACGTACCACCTGCCTACTCGCCGTGTGGCCTGGGACAGGTGGTTGGTCCTGAGTCTCTGATGTTTTTGTAAGATAACACCTTACTGCCCTGGCTGGTGTGGCTCAGTGGACAGAGCATCAGCCTGCAGACTAAAGGTCCCGGGTTCGATTCTGGTCAAGGGCACATGCCCGGGTTCCAGGCTTGATCCCCAGTAGGGAGCATCATCAATCAATGATTCTCTCTCGTCACTGATGCTTCTATCTCTCCCTCTCCCTTCCTCTCTGAAATCAATAAAAACATTTTTTTTAAAAGATAATGCCTTACTCCTTAAAGTGAAAAAAAAATGGGAGTATCATGATCGCCAAAAAGTGAGCAGAGGTAAAGGAGTGTGGACCATTAAGAGCTGCCCAAATTGAGAATCTGTGCCCTTGCTTCCCAAGGCCCACTTGACAAAGCCACCACACCACAGCACATCCAGGCCCTCTGTACAGGCCCGACTCCTGCGTATTCTTGAAGGACTGAGAATACGAGAAGGAACGTGCAGGGGTGCAAAACAAGTTCCCAAACCCACGATTACATGAGTCAGCCTCTCTGCAGGGTGTCTGGTCCCTCTTGGGATTTCTGGAAGCCCTGAGAACTGTGGTGGGCGCACGGTAGATGCGCAATAAACGTTTACTGCGTGGGAAAGTAATGCGGCCCGCAGACCCGGGCTCAGGGCAGGCAGGAACTGTGCTTTGGGAAGGGCTCACATACTGGATTTGGAGAGTTTTACTTGTCTCTGAATTAAAGATGAGTAAGATCAAGCGGGCAGTTTGTGGCGGAGGATGCTTGTAACCTAGTCATCAGAGGGAAGGAAAAGAAAACAATCTTCGTTTGGGGCAGAAAGGGAGAGAAAATACGGGAAAATGTCCTTAATAACAGTAAATGGGGAAGAGAGAGAGAGAGCAGCTCATTGCGATGAAGCATTTAGTGCTTTTAAGCTAAATACCTCAGCATATTAAGCAAATAGAGAAAAGCCAGCTAGAAGATGTTAGCAAATTGAAGCGAACGGGGCTCAGAAAGCCGATAGGAGGTGCCTGGCTTTGACCCCTTTTCCCATCACATGCCTGGCCGCGCCTGCTTGTTTAGTGTTGCCTCTCCTCTCCAGCTGCGGTGCTTATTGAAAAGCTCTTGCTCCCTGCCTGGTTTTGGCACATTTTCTGCAGGTGCCTCCTACTGCGGCCACAATGGGCTGCCAGGGAGGTTTAGACCTGTCAACAGCTACGGGGGAGGGGGTGGTGTGGTGGAGGGGGCGCAGCTATTGTCTTAAAGGGCCAGGGACATTGGGAACCTCCCCTCCGCGGAGCCCGCAGCACAGGCACCTGCTAATGAGACGAACCCTTTCTCTGGCTCCCTCTTTCTCTCTTTAATGATTTAACTTGATCGCTTTGGTTCCTTTCTGGAAGGGGAATTGCTCCATTGATCATCTAAAGTAATTGCCTGTAAAACATTGCCCTGCGACCACGACTACTTCCCTGGCTGAAAATGTCACAGCAATTGAAAAGCTCTCAGCCCAGTTCAAGAACGAGGTTGCTCGAGAGGGCAGTCCTCGCATCTGCCCTCAAGGACTGGCGTGTTCAGAGCTGCACGTTTAGGGTGGGACTGGTGGATTCTTAAGACAGAGAATGTCCCTTCCTGTCGTATAGTCTGATTTTGTGTGAGGTTGTGGAAAATTAACCAAACTGAACTTGAAATTCCCTCAACCCTAAAATTAGACGGTTCAGGGGAAGACACTGTTTTCTTTTCTTTGTTTTTTTAATCCTTACCCGAGGATATTTTTCCATGGATTTTTAGAGAGAGTGGAAGAGAGAGGGAAAAACAGAGAGAAACACCAATGTGAGAGAAACACATCGATTGGTTGCCTCCTCGCATGCCCGACCAGGGCCCGAGCCGGGCAGAAGCCTGCAACCGAGGTACATGTCCTTGACTCGAATCGAATCCAGGACCCTTCGGTCTGCAGGCTGATGCTCTATCCACTGAGCCAAACCGGCTGGGGTGATGTTATTTTCTGAATCACCCAGGCCATTCTTTTCTGGGAAGCCCTGAATTCGGAGGGATGGCCACGTGGGTCAAGTGTGATTTAGGAAAGCGTCTCCGTTTCATCACACAGGAAGACAGTGTCTTTGTCCAGGGGGTAGCAGGGGCCTTGGTTTAGGAGAGGAATGGTCCTGGAATTGGGTGAGATTTGCTGATTCTTCAGACCTGTCACTTGGCGGCAGCAGCGACACACTGTAGGAAGGGGATGACACGCTTAAGTAGTTTCCATGAATACTTTATTAGTCATTGCCATGCCAATGCGAGGGTGTAATTCACCTGGGGAAAATCACTTTGTTGTCGGCATCAACCTGCCAGCAAAATAAACAGCTGCTGGCGATGGTTTCATCTTCCTCTGACAGGTGAAAGCCTAAGTTTGTGTGGGAATAAGTAGACTTTTTCCATTTAATTGGTGGGAAGCACCACTTGCTAAGTGAGAGGCTGCCAGGTTCCTAATGTTACTAATTTGGGAACAAAGCTTCAGGTGCGTCACCTCCCAACAGAATGAGCCATGAATATATCTTGTAGCTGATGAAGTAAGCGGCAGGCATGCTTAATACTGTATTTTAAAAAAAGGATGAAAACATCTGCCAGGCAATCTACCTGACAAACAAGAGGGAGTGTAGAGCATTCAGCCACAAAAGGCCGTTTAAAATGGTGAATCTGAAGACAGCTGAACAATGTTTTTCACATAAGCCTTCTGAAAGGCCATGCTGCAAATTTCATAACTTGTTAGTAGATGCAGCAGCGCTGTTGTTGTTTTTTCCCTTGGAATTTACAAATTTTGGATTTTATATTTTTAAATCTTGTAATATTGTCAGAATATATAGCTATTCCGTGAAGGCGATTACATATATTACACCAAAATGCGCTGTATATAATAAAAAGTATTTTTCCTTTACTGACCCACACAGTGAATATAATTTTTAAATTCCTTAAATTTAAACCCATTAACTAATTTGATTCCTGAGTAGGAAGAATTATGTTGGCAGCCTTTCACACACAACAGTTTTGTTTTGTTTTTATGGGGAGGGGAAGTGAAGTCTGTGCTTCCATAGCTTGTACGGAAAGGTCTTTTATTTTTTGTCTGTAAAATGATGGTGTGGAAGTAAATGACCCCAAAAGTTCTGCCTGGCGGTATGATTTCCTTGTCTATAGAAATGATTCTGCAATGACCAATGGATGAGTGGTAAATATGCCCAGTTATTTCTAGCAGCTTTGCCTGTTAGATAGGCAGCCAAGACAAAGTAAAAGTGGGTTGAGTTAAGCCCCTGCAGCCAAGACAGGACAGCCTGACTACCAAGGCCAGAATCGCAATGCCCTGTAAAGACCCTCCGGGAAGCAGGGACACACAGGGAAGGTGGTGGGGGCAGCCGGAGCGCGGGCGGGTGGCCGCCTGCTGCTGGGGCTCCGGCCGCTTGTCCTCTGCATGAACTCCCAGAGTGAGAGCGTGAATGGATGGTGTTCACACTTCTGGAGGGGAAAGCACATTCACAGAGGAAAACACAAGCACGCAGTCAGTGGAAGGAATGGCGCCCTGACCGCAGCCACAAGACTGGTTTCACTTTTGCATCCTCTTCTTTGGTTTGTTCGCAGCGATGCCAGAGGTCTGCATGGAACTCCCAACCAAGTTCAGAGACAACCAAATGGAGCGTGACAGTCCCGTTCCTCATGGATCTTTGTGGCACGTTTGAAACCACCTGACTTCACGAGGTAGAAATTCACCTTGAATTAAGTTTGTTCCAACTTCATACTAAATAGAATTTGTCACGATGTTGGGCGTGCATTTAAAAATAAAAGAATGTGTTTTAAAATGCTACATCATTCCTCTGTCCATGCACACCTTGCTGATGAAATGTGCGCACAGCAGTGAGAATTACACCCTGGGTTCCAATGCCACTGTCTGAAGGGGAAGAGCTAGCGCTCCTCATAACCGGATCGGTGGATTTACTTATGGAGGGAGAGCCACAGACCTTTCAACCTGAGCCCTCATTTACTTGGCGTTTACACTTGTTACCAACACGTATCTCGGCCGCCAAAAGTTAACCCACAGAAAGGGTGAGATTCCTCATACTTAAATAAAAAGTTCACATCGGGCTGTGGAGGCAACAGGACCTGTTGAAAAGCCTGTATGTCCAAATAAGGTGTCCTTACTTTCCAGCTAGAAAATGATGTGACTTTGAACTTGGCTTTATAGCTCCTGAATTAATGTAGAACTGCTGTCTATGGGAAGAAAAAGGGCTATTTTATGCCTTAATAGAATGCATGGGGTCATAATAAATGAACGTTTCAGCTGCAGTTGGTGTGACTAAGTCAGACCCCACTCCCCTCCCCCATGAAGAGCCTGGTCTACTTTTTTTGTTCCTTGCAATCTTCTTAGAATTACATGCTGCAAAGTTTCCTTTCTTTCAAAAGTCAGAAAGCACCAAACAGCTGGAGGAGGGTCCCCATACTTTGTTTCTCCAGTTTGATACAAGATCACACCCCTTTCTTCCAGCCAGGTCCTTCCAGAGTTACAACTTATTTTAGAGTGCATCTGAAAGAGCTGCACTTTAGTAATATCACTCGTATGACTGATCCAAAGGACTGGTTTTGGGTGCCTACCATAAAAAACCTAAAACTTCACCTACACATGCTGTCAAAAATAGATGAGATGGGATGGCATCAGGTGTACAGTCCTAAAGCCTGAATTTGGAGAGTAAGGCGACTCTCTCATAAACACAGCAATGGTGTGGGCTGATACTGATGTGTCAGCCGACCGAGCCTTAATCCCGGGGGTACAGGCGTGTGTGTGTGTGTGTGTGTGTGTGTGTGTGTGTAATTCTCTATCTGATCCACCAGCCAGGGTCTAGTTTTGTGCAAAGGAGGTTCGTGCCTTTTTCTTAGCATTAAAGCTTGAAAAAAGAGTGTGAAAAGTTCAAGGAATGCCTCTGGTGAGTTAGAGTCAAACCCAGAAAACATACACAGGGAAAAATAAAAATGGTTACTTTTAGTTTTAAAAAGCACAAAACCCCACATGGTGATGCCTTTGTTCTCATATAACAAATAATACTTGAAGATAAAGTCTATTGCAAAAATACATTCAACGAGATCTTATAATTTTGAAGTCTTCATTTTGCTTGTATTGCCTGCTTTTGCAGATTTATAATTATCTCAAAAAAGACAACTAATTTTCTAACAATGGGTTTATGAGAAATACACTGAAAATAATTATTAACCAAACAGATAATATTTTTCTTGCAATGGTCTCAGTTAAGCATTCAAAATGGCTGTGTTTTCAGTAAAGTAATAAGTGGTATATAGGACAATATTCCCGTAAAGCCTATAAACTGATAAACATTCATTTTATTTATTTCAAATACCATACTTTTAAAAAAAAGTTATGTTTGTGTTCTTACTCTACAGAACACCGTCGTTGATCCTTACCCTACAAAAGACAGTCTTGGGTTTTGTATTCTCAACATCAGCACAGGAGCTGTATACTTCCCTTGTGTGCTGTCAGCCTGGCTGTAAAGAAAAGAAAGCATCTATGACTCGACACCAAAGTTTAGGGCAGACACACAAGTTCATAAAAATTCCAATGGGTGTTGGCATGGAATAATTTTACATCAAAAGGAAATCTGGTACTAGATCCCTCACACAGAAACTCCACATTTAAAATTTGAGAGGTGGACCAATTCTTTAGAAAGCACAGTATCTAAGGTTAACGGAGACGTCTCCCCTCTGTGAAATGCCCTGCTTCATGAATCTGGCTCACAATCCTCTCTGTTTTTCAAATCCCCATAAAGATGATAAGAAGAGAGTGCAAATGTTTGACCATGAACTTTGGGGAAGACGGTTACCTGGAGTAGCTCAGGGATAGTTCAAGTCACTCGGTTGCTCATAAATCAATTCAGATTGTTACAGCAGTCTGACAGCGGCTGTTGAACAAGGGGAGCTCCTACGGGGAGTTTTCCAAGTTCTGACAAGGGCAGGGGGAGCGAGTGGGCCCTGGGTTCCCACGTCGCCTCCTTTGGCCCTGGCTCCAGGCACACAAACAGAATCGGACGGAGATCAGGGGAAAGCGCCCAGACACTTCTCATCCAAACCTCACTCTGGCCTTAGTTATTTATTTCAAGTGAAAGTGCCATCACACAAAGTCATCCTAATATACAGGGGTGGACAACAATAGGTCTACAATTGTTCATCTGGAAAATAATAAAATAATTAATAAATGATAACACAAGAATAAACTGTTTTGCATACTCACAACTGTAATCCTACTGTTGCCCACCCTGTACATCAGCTCTTTTTTCCCCCCCTACTTTTGTTAAAATTGAGATAATCAAGTTTAAGATTTAACTAGGTACAGAAAACTTTTTTAAGTACCCCAATAAGCTGTTTAAGATATAGTGCTACCATTTGATTACTGGTGATTGGGTCGTCTATAAACAAAAGTTTGTGATAGAAAATTCTTAAGAAGTTCTAATTTATGAGAGTACCAATGTGGGGTTTTTTTTATTTTTTTAGAAAGAAAATTTGATATAAAGCAAATTACTACCACCACCCAACACCATGAACACAATAAGAATAACTTTCAAGTACACCACAGAAACAAACCCACAAAGCTACTCTGGTCTGGGATTACATCAACTCTTTATTTCTGTCTGAGTACGACTGTTAGATTCTCCTGCACTTTCCTTTTCCTTCCTATGCCCACACTGAGGCACTGAAAATAATTTGCTGCCTATAGCCTAAGCCGAAGACAGGCATCACTGAAAACATTAAAAATTATTTCTACTTTAGAAATAACATTTTAGTCTTTCATCCTTACTAAGTCTCTCAAGTATTAGTGGAAACATTATTTTTTCTGGGGAACTGATTCTGATCAGTACTACTTTTATTTCTACATATCCATCTAAGGTGTTGAATGCACAATCGCAAAAAATAATAATTGCATTATTTAATTAAAAACAGGATCCATTATCCCTTGTTAATATACAATACAGTTCTGTGTATTTTTTTTAATTGTACAGAAATTTAATTTAACATTAGACTGGCAGTAGAGATTCATCCACAAGTGTCACCTTAAATAATTTTGGGAGTAAACAGGGCTCCAGTGATCATTTTAAATGATTGTCACATATAAAAGAGATGTAATAAAACCAAATCAATATTGAGAAATTGGTCTAAAATTATTTTATTGGTTAAAAATTCCTGGAAATTGACTACCCCAAAAATCACAATTCTTCAGGAAATAATTCTCATCCGTGTCTGTGACTAGCATTTTTAAAAAATATTCAAATAATGAAATTCTCCAACTTCTTAAACAGGGCAACAACAACAAAAAAGGCAAATCAAGGAAGAAAAAGAGAATAACAATAATAAAAGATAAGCCTACCCTTTGCCAATAACAAATGCAAAGAGTCAAGACCTAAATGTGACAACTTAATTTTTTACCATTTCGAAGGCTAACAATACTATGAGTTTCATGGCCAGTCAGTGACAGTCTTTTCATTTTGCTAATAAGAAACAGATAATTCCTCTTAAGCAGATTAACTTAAAGTACATTTTCAGGGAAGCTAAAATCCCCTTCAATCAGGGTCTTAAGTTTAATTATAAAAGTCAAACAATTTATTAGCTCTCATTTAAGTGCAACAACAAAATAGGTGGGCACACAACTCTCAGGGGCCAGGAGGCAACCAAATCAAGATTTGCTGCAGTAACAGAAAACATTTTTAGCCATAACTTGATAAACATCTAACCGGCCCACTTAACTAGGATTCTTCCCCTCTTTCTTCTTTGCTGCCCCCTATATGGAAATAGGATTAACATTTTCTTCATTCACAGTAAATGCGATGATTGTTTTTAATTTTTACTACTTTTATATTAAGAAGTAAACACACACACAATGCAAAGTAAAAATTAGAAAACCTGCCTTTTGTAGGATATTGTATACATATTTGCTTCACTAGTCCCCTAATTTTGTCATAAAAATACTCTTAAATTGTATCTCCTTCTAAAAAGTAAAAAAAAAAATCTATTTTAAAGTGGCAAAAAATAAAAATAAAAAGGTAAAATAGCTTGCTTAAAGGATTTCTTTTGCCTGATTTCTTCCTTTTTTCTTTACTGTTTGAACTCACTGGATAATTGCCGTATTTCCAGTTTCATTCTGCCTATAGAGAAACTGTGTGTCTATACCTTGAAGAATACCAATTAAACTGCCAGCAGTAGCATCTCCAACAGTATCTTTTGGTCTTCAGTGTCAAAGCCCTTTGAACAAATGACCGGAAGGCTAAATCTAAAACAGCCTTTGACAAGAATGCCAGCTTTGAGCACTCACTTTAGGACTAAGGCTCCAGCCTATTGCTTTACTTGGGAAGCAAGAGAGGAATAACCCATCCACTTTATAATTTGCACAAATGGTAAAGGTTAAAATAAAAGTGAAAGATTACCAGAAGATCACTAATATTGTTTTGAAAAGGAGGGGGAAGTTCCTCTTATCATTTAATTCAATTCCATCCAAATTTCTGTACAAAGCTAAATAAAAGATTTCAAATATTGCAAAACTGCTAAAAATGCTACATTTTCCTTTTCCTCAATTTCTGCGGTAATAATGATACCATGTACTGTATGCTGGGCACAGTGGGAAAAAGTTCACATGGATTTTTAAATTTAATCTCATAGCAGTCCTATGAAATTGAAAATATTAGCAATGGGGAAATGGGCTCAGAGAGTTTTAGAAACTTGCACAAGGTCACACAGCTGGGAGCTGAAAGAATTCGAACTTGGCGTCTGATTTCAAGACCCCATGGCGTCTGATTTCAAGACCCCATGCTTCTGGGCCATCTTGGCTGCTTCCGTTATCAAACCACTCCTGGGGGAAGCATTAGCTATTCTCTTTTTGACAGGATCCATGAAGAAAGCTTGTAGAGCAGTGGTTTCAACCTTGGCTGCCCATTGATATCACATATAAAAAAATACTTGCCCTAACCGGTTTGGCTCAGTGGATAGAGTGTCGGCCTGCGGACTCAAGGGTCCCAGGTTCGATTCCGGTCAAGGGCATGTACCTTGGTTGCAGGCACATCCCCAGTAGGGAGTGTGCAGGAGGAATCTGATTGATGCTTCTCTCTCATCGATGTTTCTAACTCTCTATCCCTCTCCCTTCATCTCTGTAAAAAAATCAATAAAACATATTATTTTTAAAAAGCTCAAAAAAATAAAATAAAATAAAAAAATACTTATGCTTGGGCTCCACCCCTAGAGATTCTTACTTAATAGGTCTGGGGTAGGGCCCAGGCATCAGTAATCTTCAGTACTCACCCTACCAGTGAATAAAATAGAGAATCCTTCTCTTTGCGATGCTTAAATTCAAATGGTGCTTAGATTCTAGAAGAATCTAGTAGAATCCCCAGATGATTCTAATGTGCAGCCCAGAGTGAGAACCAGTGATCACATTAATATTACCACTTATCCAGGCTCCTTGCTCCAAGCCCTCAATGGAAGCAACTCAACTGGCAGAGAGTGGGAGAGAGTCCAACAATACCTGACACGAGACGGTAGACTTTTACTTAGAGAGTTCCAGATCTGAGAAGCAGTGGAGCAACACGGAAAATGCATGGACACTGGAGTGGTCAGACCTGAGTTCAAATTCCAACTCTACTCTTTATTAACTCTGTAACCTTGGGCCGGCCACTTGCCTTTTGTGGTTGTTCTACAGATGCGATGGGATGATATGAGGAAAGCCCCAGGCATATAACATTGCTCTGTATCAATGGTAGTTGCTTCTGTGGTTGTTGTTGTTATTATTACTACAATGGTAATGACTACTGCCAGGAGGCATTAGGAGTGAAGAAATCAAATTACAGAAAAACATTTTTTATTAGTCAAATAATTCCTGCTTTTATTACTTCGCATTTAATTTGCAGCTATTTATATTGCAAATTAGCTTGGCAATCATATTTCTCATTCATGACAACTGGGTAAGGGCAACATTATTACTCCCGTTTGCCACAAGAGGAAAAGACAACGTATCCATCTATTCTGTCTCTAGTTTCTATGATTTTGTGATTAGACACCTGCAATCATGTTCATTAGTTCCCTATGAAAAATGATACTCAACGCAGATGGCAAATGCAGGAAAGAAGAATTAACAAGCACTTGATAGCAACCCCAAAAATAACATCTAAATAATCACTTCTGAACATTAAAGTCATGGCAAACAAGTTCCAATTTATATAAAGATGTCAGAAAGGATTAAGGAAAAATGAACAAATACATTTTTCTTTATCCTCATTCATTTAGGAAATGTCTGACATAGCTCAGAAATCCTATTTGAAATGCAGAAAGAGAATGGTTAATTTCCTCTAAGAAGAATCTTCCATTAGCAGATAGGAAGACCCTAATATGTCCTGATATTTTATCTTAAACCAGAGCTACAAAGTAGAAGAGATCTAAGATGGAGAGACCCAATTCAGTAGTTCTCAATCAAGATCCCCAAGAAGCCCATGGGCTGTGGGCAAGGGCCCCACAACTTCCAATGTACACCAACACATTCCCAACACTGGAGAATGGCTTGCTCACAAATACCATCTCTTTGTCATATGTACGTTTCCATGACTGAGATACAAATGCCTCTAGACATACTACTGAATTCATAATCACTATATATAACCACTATTACATGGGGAGGGGAGTCCTCAATTTTCTGTTGTTCAAAAGGAGTCTTCATCCAAAAGAGTTAGGAAACACTGATCTAATACAGTCCCCTAATTTCACTGAATAGGTCTTAGAAGATATTGGGACAACTGGGATTCCTATAATCTAGGTTTTCTAATTCCCAAATGGTCTTTGTCCCACACCATACATCCCTTCCAATGGGAAGTTAACAGCCGTGGTCATGTCCTCTTCTAAAAGAGGAGAGTATAGTCCTACCCACTGTCACTGGATATGTGCCAGAATTTTCTATAAATCCTGAATCTGTCCTTTCTCTTCCTTTCCTTCCCCTGCTCAACTCTCCGGTTTATGCCTTTCGGGTTGACAGCACTCCATCCTCTTTCAAGCTCCGATGCTCTGTAAGTGCCCTTGGACATTTAGTCTTAATACGAAGGTACTGAATAAGGAGTGCGTTAAGTCTGTATAAAATATGCATATGTACGAAGGTATTTTATAGTTAAAACCCCAGAACTTCTATATCTATGGAAAATAAGAAAATTGGTATATTTGTGAATAATCATTTTATTTTCTCTGAACCTGTCAACACTAACAGGCTCTTAAACCCCTAGCCTACCAACTTTTCAAAATGCTTTCACGTCTCTTATTTCAGTTTATTGTCCCAATTGGTCACTAAAATGTGCTACTGGAGCACAATTAGAACTTAAGTGCCATGACAAGTAGAAATGCTATCTATTTTATTCATAGTCTTCCCCCGCCCCCCACCCGCCCAATAGCTAAAACAGTGCCTGGCACATGGTAGGCATTCATTCACTTAATGTTTGTTGATTGACTGAATCAACAGTACATAGGAATGACAGGTTTATTTATTCATCATTTAGCCTACACGTAGTTTTATTTTTATTTGAGGAGATAGAATGATCTACAAGGAAAGAACTGAGTCCCTAATAATCTTTTCTGTCTTTAATTCTCCTCATAATATTTGACTTAACATCCTTTCCTCGAATAGTTTTAACGTAATTTTTCAAAATCATATAAGTAATACATTCATTTTAGGAAAATCAGAAACTACCAATAGATAAAGAGAAAATAAAAGTTCCCTATATTCCCATAACCCAAGGAAGACACAGTTAACATGCTCATGCTATCCTTTCAGACTTTATCCTGTGTGCTCAGTACACACATAGACACACACACACAGCTGACATAGTTCCACAACTCTCTGTCCTAGATTCTATGATTGGGAGGTGTGTTTTTTTTTCTTCCATAAGCGCTTTTCTTTTTGGGTCTCCTACAATAGCTCCTTATCCTCTTCCTATATCCTAAATATATTCCTTCCCCAACATTTAGATCCTGAGTTCAAGAGGATGTTTTCCCTTTTTCCTTCCAGAAGATTCATCTGTTCTTATTCAACATTAAATTTGTTGTGGGTATCTTGTGTCTTCAGTTTTCCCTTTCCTCTGGGATACCAGAGTCCTACATGTCTAAAACCAAATGAATCCTGTTCCCACAAAACCAGATCACTCTCCCCCCCCCATTTCTGTCAACTGTCACACAATTCTACAGGCTATTCTCAACAGTCACCTTTGGTCCCCCAACCTCAAAGCGACTTTCAGCCTTGCTTTGGATCATCTCTCTCACCCTTCTCTTCTCATTGCTACTATTATTGTTCAGGGCCTTACATCTGTATCATTTTCTGCCTGGGTCTCCTGCTTGTTGTATAACAAAACACCTATCCAAGTTACCCACTGCTGCCGGGTAACTCCCTAAAACACCACTTCCATCTGCTATCCTATAGTCAGAAATGTGGGTTGGCTGCCCACTAGTACAGAATGGCACTGCGGCTTCTTCACAGTCTCAGTTCAGACTACTCTTCCATCCTTATTTCTCATTATTCTTAAAAATAAACCTCTTCCTCCAGCCAGCCTGGTGTCCTCAGTAGTCGCCCAACCCCAAAACATCTGGTTGTGAGTTAGGTATTTATGAAGTGCTTATTATGTGTAAAACCCCTCCATTCACCGGACAGATGTTTACTGAGCATCTGTTCTATCAGGTAATGTGCTGTTGCTGGGGACGCAAAGGTGAACATACACACCAGGTCCCTGCCCTCATGGACCTTAGAGGCGAATGCGTTACCGAGAGGAGACTCTAAGACATGGTGGTCCCAGCTCAGGGCACTCCCAGATGTTCCATTACAATGTCAAATGAGTCGAGAAATCCCTGAGGGCTGAACGTTGTGGCCCAGGGGAAGGATTCAGAAGAAAGGAAGGGCTGAGTGAGGAGAGCTCCAGTGTGAGAAAAGGCTTCTCTGAAGTGGGACTCCACCGGGCCATAAAGGATGGGCTACTAGAAAAGGGGGTGCCCTCCATCCAGGGGGCTGTGAGGAAAGGCACAAAGGCGGACGGGAAACAGCAGCGGCAATGGCAGGGGCTTATTCTGTACAAAGGTTCCCTCAACACCACTCAGCAGAGCCCATGCTCCCTCCCTGCCGGCCGGGCTCCTGGGTGGATGTGAGTATGACTCAGGCTGGGCTCCTACATGCAGGGATGGCCATCCAGCCAGGAGGAGGAGGCAGGTCTGTGATGACTTACAGCACCCTGGAAAGGGGAGACATTCATCCCATTAGAGATTCGGGGAGAAAGTTCAGGAGGAGGTACCAGCCTGGGGCCCTAGTGTAGTATGTATAGAATCAAATGTCTTTACAGATGTACGTGCACCTACTGGAAATAACTATGTGGTTTCAAATGTTTTCTCACTCGTGTTCTCCTAAGTGACCAGTGAGCCGGGCAGAGTAGGTGAGTAGGATGTGTTTTCCAGACGATCCAAGTGAGGCACAGATCGTGTAAGTGACCTGCTTAGGTCAGACACGCACACAGGCAAGAGTAGCACACGAACGCCCCGTGCACCTCGGCGGGTTCCTGCAGCAGAAGCCCGGAGCGGGGGCGCGCACTGCAAGGCCTAGGAGCCTGCAGGACACCGGCCAGACACTGAAGCCGCGCAGGCAGCCTGGATGTAAACGGGCAGGATGCGGGCAGCCTGCGAGGGTTTTGGAGAGGGAACGCGACCCAGAAAGTCTTCTATACCCTCCCCCAGGCTTCCGAACCATAAGCATCCTTAAGTTTCATCCCAAATCTCTTTTCTATCCACTGATTTAACCCAACTAACCTCCCCGGGAGACCGCGACAGGATGCCCCGCCAGAACACGGCTCGGCTCAGGGCAGTGAGTGAATGAATGAATGAATGAATGAAGTCATTAACTCCGGGGACCTGCACCGCTTAGGGAGCAAACCCTGAGTCCTTACCTCCCTCCCCAGGAGGGTAGGCTGCACGGGACGCCTTCGCCACCCGTCCCGGAGGAACGAAGGGGTGGGTGGCGAAGGCCGAGGGCCCGAGTTCCAGGGCCACGGGACCCCGCGCCGCCCCAGGCTCGAACCCCCCACTGGAAGCTGGGGCTCGCCTCCCACACGCCCACCAAAGGCGCTACCTGAGATCGCTAACTATTTCCCCATCTGGAAAACGTCGGGGGAAGTGGCGACCAGCAGCGCCAACGCCGGGGGAGCGCTGGTCGGGAAGCGTGGGGGAGGAGGGCCGAGGGGTCTTTTCCAGCTCCCGCCAGGGGGCTGGAAGCCTCGCGAGATTTGGGGTCGCGCTCGGCGTGGCGTTGCTTAGCGACGCGGAAGACGCTCGCGGGCCCCCAGGCTAACCCCCGCGGTCGCCTGAAATCGCCTACCATGGGGGACGAAGGCGGCGGCCGCGGCTGTGGGCCCACTAGGGAGCTGCGGAGGCTGAAGCAGCAGGCGCTGGAGTACTACCGGGAGAACGACGTCCCGCGCAGGCTGGAAGAGCTGCTCAACTCCACCTTCTACCTCCAGCCTGCCGACGTCTACGGGCACCTGGTAGGGACCTGGGACAGCACCCGCTCCCCTCCAGCCCCTCCCCCCCGCCCCCGCGCTGCGGCAACGCTGTGCGCCTGCGCCGCGAGGTCGCGCACGCGCATCGCTGCTGCGGGCTGGGAGACCGCGGTGGTGCGGGAAGGCGATCCTGCAGGGCAGCAGCCGAGCGGGGAACCTGGGGCGGAGGAGATTCCAGAAAGAAAGTGGTGGATGGGAAGCAGTTAGAGGATGGTGGGCTCCAGGCGGATTTGTTGCTACGGCGACAGCTCGGGGCCTGCCAGGCTTCCTCGCTGCCTCGGGACCGGCCGGCCCCGGCTGCGGGTTGTTCTTGTAAACACAGACCTTAACCCCGCGCAGCTCAGTTTACCCGCCTCCAGCGGCCTCCTCTTGGTCACGGGATGAACGCGCTGGCTGGCGGGGACCTCAGGCCCAGCCCGCTCCCATTGCTTCCAAGTTTCATTCACATCAAGCCTGGCTCCTGCCTGGATGCCTGGCCCCACCCACTTGACCAGCCCCCACTAAACTTCCATCGGCTGCTGCGCCCTGGACTGGTTGTCCTTCAGCGGTCCCAGTCCCTGCAGCATTTTTTTTT